GGTGGTTGAAGAAGGCGACCTAGATGTAGTTCAAATGAGGGTGGTACGATGGGTATATGTATATATATATATATATATATATATATATATATATATGCCCTAATCATATTGCCTGCCACACATGGATTGTTCTGCTAACTTTTCCCTCTTGCTTCGCACCCAATTTTTCATCATTTCAATACATTTACTTTTCTAGTCACACTCTATTATACACAGCCACTAAAGTCATTACATAATGTGGACTATATATATATATATTTTGAAGTGCTTGTTCCCTGATAGCTATGTTTTGTTACCGTTAAGTATTTTATGTGGCTAATTATCCTAAAAATACAAAGCTATGTCTATCAAAAATATTATACAAGTGGACACATACGTAACGTTCTGACATATTTTGGTTTTTTAAAGTAGTGGGCTTAAATTGATTGGCGGTTCCTCATAAATTTAATATGTTCATCCAATACCTAATTCAGTGATTGCTTGTCGTCAATTGATTAAATTTTTATTTATTTATTTTGGTAGGTGTCAATTGATTAAGTTGAGAATTATGTAATGTTGAGCTAGGAATAGACAAGTATTATGCACATATTTAGCTCATTAAAACCTACTGTATTGCAAACTGTAATTATAATAATACGTAGGAAAATAATGACCATATATTGATTATCTATATATTTCTTCTTTCTAAAGGTTCTGAAGCATTCTCCTGATTAGAGCTGTGAGATCTTGATTGCTAGTGTTCTGTTTGGCTAGGTGTAGTTTTCTTGCTTCTGTCTTTTGTTCGCCTCTTGTAGTCCCGTAAATGAATTAGATTCGGAATGGATCAGGTATGATCCAATTTGAATCCGGTAAGAGGGATAACTGATCCTATAATTCGGTGATTTATTTTAAGTGATTTTATGTTTGTGAACAATCGGATATCCGTAAATAATCGGATGTCTGATAACCGGACTCGTTAAAAAAATTTATATAAAAAAAAAACTTCAATGTCAAATGAGATTAACAAACAATAAATAAAAAAGAAAGAGAGAGAAGCAAGAGAAGAAAAATAAAATATAAATAAAAAGGAGAAGAAAATTGGTTTTTGATATTTTATTAAAGAAAAAACAATAAAGAGAAACAAAATAGAAAGATGGAAGAAGAGTAAGAAAAAAAATGATGATTAAAACTATGTTAATAAAATGGGGGGCGCACTCGACTTTTAACCTTAACTTTACAAGTAACTGAAAACTATTTTTTAAATGACACAATTACCCTTTCAGATTTCCTATATTTTTATCTCTAATATTTAATATTTTAGTTCTTTTAGAGAAGACAAAAAAATTAAAGAAATTATCTTTTCTTGTCGAGATTCAAACAAAAAAGTACCAAAAAAACAGAGTGATTCAAAAAAAAAAAAAAAAAAAAAAAAAAAAAAAAAAAAACTCTAGTTATCATACAAAAAATTTAAAAAGAAGTTATTTCTATTTAATAAATTATTTCTTTTGACGGGACCATCATAACCTACAAAAAAGTTAACTTTATTGAAGAAATTATTTGTTTCGATTGTATGAAAAGAAATTCACTGTTAAATAAATCATCTTCTTTGGGAGAACCTCCGAAAATAAAATTTTATTGCAAAAAATAAAATTATCTGTGTAGAATAAATTATCTTCTTTGGGAGAACCTCCGAAAAAAAGTATAGTATAGAAAAAAGAAAAGAAAAATGTAAAGATAGTTAAGAAGGTAAAAAGAAGTTAAAGTTGTATAAATGATAGTTACGACGTTATAAAATAAGGGATGAAGCATTAATGTATTTAAAGACTTTCTAGTCATTTCTTCTAAAAGAAAAAAATATATGTAGTACAATTAGAGAAAATTGGAGTATAAATATCGTTTCCCTAATAAAATTATAATACATATTATAGTATTAGTAATATATTTATAACATATTATGTATTATTTTATATCACATCGAATTGACTATAATTTGTATCTCGTTTATTGTTTAGTTGGCTAACTAATTATTAAATTCAGGTCACTGATATCAAATTGAATATTTCAATTCATATCTAAATTATAGGACTGAACTTAAATTAGAATTTTATTCATCAAAAGGTCTAATTGTTTGGTTTAATGCCCAGGAAGCACCAATGGACCTAGCAGTATTAGCCTCTTACTTTTTAGAGAGAGATCAGGGATTCAAGTTTCAGAAGAGACATATGTGTGTAAGTACCAAGTAGAAAAAAAAAAAAAAAAAAAAAAAAAAAAAGAACCCGGGGAGGCAATACTCCTTTGTGTTGCTTGTAATTATTTTCTAGTTTAATCAATACATCTTACCTTTACTACCTGGCGCTCTTGTTAGTCGCTCGGTGAGTTCTTCTCTCACCGAAAACCTGACTTTCTTTTTATTAGGAAATGGCGCTGGGTGCCATAGCTAATCGACTGAAATGAAAAAATAATAATAATAACTCACTAGTTAAAATAGGCTTTACCTAAATCCATTATTATTAATTTGTTTGTGAATACCCCTAACTTAAGTCATACAATTTTTCTCTACATGTATTACTCTCACACTTGGCGTGCTTTCTCGTTCTCAATATTTGTAACTTAATTTTATAATTTTTGCACTTTCATTCTCGAATTCGATCCCATTTCTAATCCCACTTTTTTTAACTTAGCCTCCCACTCTCCTCCCGCTTTATTTAACTTAACCTAGCAAACATCGAATTTTGCTATGCATGCACCACTGGTTAAAAGATCACCCAAAAATTATTCCTTTTTAGATCTCCTAATGATGGATTTAAAGATAGTCATAGGAATGTTGGAGGGTCATGACCTTATCGTAACTTTTTACCATATATATTTAATAAATTAATGTGTATATACACACACACACATATGCATGAATATAATTGAGATGATAGCCGGTTCATCTGTAATAGTTTTTGTTATCCTTAATTCTAATGGAATATTAAACTAAACAAATTAGTTGACATGAGTAGTAGTACTATAATCCAATTCCATGAATCAGTCCTTATCATACACTAATAATTAAGATCCAGAGTGGAAATTCCATTGGTTCTCGGCAGATACAACCAATACTGACTCACATATAAACATAATCAATATGAAATTAAGAATAAATTACAGAAAAGATTAGCTATTGTTGTCACAACTCAGCGGTGGACTGATTCTTTTTTGTTGATTTTTTTATCCCCCACAAATCGATAGAGAAAATAGTGACATACACATGACAGTACCATAAACGTTATTTTATTTATTTTCGGTTCTATTAGGACACGAAACTTCAAAAACAATGTTTAGTTTACGTACCTTTTAAAAATGGGATAGTTATCGCCTTGATGCTTTAGTTGTGTTTGACAACAAAAATAATATTAATTTTTAACAACAATGTGATTCGGTCTCTGAGGATTTTAAAAATGGGATAGTTATCGCCTTGATGGTTTTGTTGTGTTTAACAATAAAAATAATATTAATTTTTAACAATAATGTTACTCAGTCTCTGATGAGAGTATTTTTACTGTCATAACACAATCAAAAGAGAATTCAGGAATTGTCCATGGAGTGGCTTAAATTTTTTTGGGTGGGTTAATAGTAATAATAATTTTTTTTATATTTTTTTGCTGGAATAAAATTAGGTATAATAAATTTTTTTTTTTTTTTGGTGAGCCCAAGCCCACCTCTAGATTAGCTAGTAAACACACTCAAAACACACAGTCCAATTTTTAAAAGGTCAAAATGAATGAATTATTCATGTTTAATTTGTGGAATCGGCAGTCTAAATGTCAGTGTAATTTACTATGCATGTGTAAGTTGAGTTGATTCGAGAAGTTTCCTCCAGCAATAATAGGACATTTTAGTAGACTTATTTCATTTCAACGTGGTTGATTTGGGGTTGGAATAATAATCAATGTTTTGTAGTTTATACATCAATAATTGAAGGCATGTGGCGGTGTATTCCATGCTTTTCATGACCTCGAAAGTCTAATTATATATAAAAAAGATTCACTTATTCCTTAATAATGTCATTTACATATGGTGGCTTCCTAAACTACTCCTAACCTTTTTTTTCCCCTTTTATTTATTTATTTATTTTCTTTATTATCACAAAAATCATATTTTAAATAAAAATAATCCACATTTCTGAGTAATTTCATGTGTGGACTATCTCTACTAAAACAATGCTATTTAAATTTATTTTTTTAATTTATATGTATAACTAAAGGTTTTTTATTCCTTTAATGTACACAATAAACTCAAGTGTAAATTCAATCTATTCCACCTTTGAAATATTCACATGAAAAATAAGTAAAAAATCATTTTCGTTCTGCTAAAATAAGTAGAAAATAACTAACTAGCAAATAATTTAGTTTCATTTTATTACAGTACTATATAATTATATGGAACTTGTGTTCGTGTCCCAACTCCCTGGTGAAGAAAAGAAGAGGAAAAAAAAAACGAAAAACAGAAAAAAAAGTGCACTTACGTGTCAAAAATCTAGTGGTGAAGTCTACATAAAGGAAGCTTAGTCAGCCACGTGTCCAGCCAAGAAGCACGAGCCAAAATATGAAGGATGTGAAGAATAAAGCAAACCCCATCATGTCCCGTCCAACTCGCTCGCACTCGAATGGGTCCCACCACTATTTTTCTCTAACAATTGCCCCTCATAAACCCCTAATTTATCACCTCCGAGGTCACTATTTTTTTGCCCACTTAAATCTTGGTCGGTGGTACCCCTCATCTCCATCATAACAAGCCAAACACATATTTGTGGACCACATTTTGCCACGTAGGATTCAATCTTACAAAAACACAACGACCGACCCAAAGCAACGTCGTTTTCAACGAGGGCATTCAAGTCCTTCCACAACAAAAATAATGAATAAGCTCTAAATATTAATTATGAGCGGTCGGTCGCATGACAGCAAAAATAAAATCATTAATCATAGTCCTTGTGTCCCACATCAAGTCTATATAAAACTCCACTACGCTCCCCACTCACTCCATCAAACGGTCAATACTCCACTAACGACTACTTCCTAGAGAGAGAGAGAAAGTCAGGTCCTTGTGATTTGTGGTAGAGAGAGATGGAGGGAAAGGAAGAGGATGTTAGATTGGGAGCCAACAAGTACTCCGAGAGGCAGCCGATCGGCACGGCGGCTCAGGCCGGTGACAAAGACTACAGTGAACCGCCACCAGCTCCTCTGTTCGAGCCGGGTGAGCTGAGTTCCTGGTCGTTTTACCGGGCCGGAATAGCCGAGTTCGTGGCCACTTTTCTGTTCTTGTACATCACAGTTCTAACGGTAATGGGCGTCGTCAAGTCCCCAACTAAGTGCCCAACGGTCGGAATTCAAGGCATCGCTTGGGCCTTCGGTGGCATGATCTTCGCCCTCGTCTACTGCACCGCCGGCATTTCAGGTCAGAATTTTTAGGTTTGCTTACGCGTGAATTTCTTTTCATCCCCGTGAAAATTTTGTAACGGTAACACTTGAACGTAGTAGTTCGCATGATTCCTCATTAACATGTTTAATTCTATGTTTAAAATTAATTGAAAAATGATATTCCTCTTTCTGATATTAGACGTTCACTTTAAAAATTGTGATACGGAACCATAAATCAATTATAAGTTGTCAGTACGGTTGGTGGAAACCATGTTATTAGTACAACCAAAGCAATACGTACTAATTTTAATTTTCATAGTCTCGGATATCATCATATATTTCTACCATACTCATATAAAATACAGTGGTATGCATTCTACTTTCGGATTTTATATCACCATTTCTTTTAAATTATTTGAGGGTGAAGTGAACATAGTACTTAAAATTTCCCCGGCAAGAGTGACCTAGTGATCTATCTATTGGTTGATAGAATGTTCAATTTTAATTATGTGACGGGTGAAATTTAAGGTTTGAACATACATAAATATTTATATATACAGTTATTTATGTGATGTATGTGGGATTGGTGCAGGAGGACATATAAATCCGGCGGTGACCTTTGGATTGTTACTGGCGAGGAAGTTGTCGTTGACTAGGGCAGTGTTCTACATGGTGATGCAGTGCCTGGGCGCCATATGTGGTGCTGGTGTTGTGAGGGGGTTCATGAAGGGGCAATATGAGGTTCTTGGTGGTGGGGCCAATTCTGTGGCTCATGGTTACACAAAGGGCGATGGGCTTGGTGCTGAGATCGTTGGTACCTTTGTGCTTGTCTACACCGTTTTCTCTGCCACTGACGCCAAGCGTAGCGCCAGAGACTCCCATGTCCCGGTAAGCACAAATATATACTTCTATACATACCTGTGTATACCTATCTATACCTATATATATATATATATATATATATTTGATAAAAAAGAAAATTTTTTGATAACCTAAGTTGGAAAATTTTGATAGTTGGATCAATTTATATAGTCTACAAATTTAGCCATTGACTATTACTATTAAAATTCAATTGATAAATCAAGTGATAAAAACTTTGTAATAAATGAAATTGGTGAAACCATAATTCAATGAATCTCTTTTTAAATTCATATGTCGACAAGACAAAAGGAACAATAGTGGTTTTCCGATGTCACATTGAGTACCATATTTCATAAAATTTTCTTATATTTACTTGAGATATATATACTACTATAAAAAATTGATGATTTTTTGATGATCGTGTGATTGGACGGTTCAGATTTTGGCACCATTGCCAATTGGGTTCGCTGTGTTCTTGGTACACCTTGCGACCATTCCTATCACCGGTACTGGTATCAACCCGGCTAGGAGTCTGGGGGCAGCGATCATCTACAACAAGGCCCACGCCTGGGATGACCATGTAAGCACCACTTCTCTTATTTTATCCTTTAAGAATCTGTGTCCAAGTGACAATCCAAACGTTAAAAGACAACACATGATTGTGATCGATGCTGATTGGCTGAACCTTTATTCTTATTGTATGGTGTGATGCAGTGGATTTTCTGGGTGGGACCATTCATTGGTGCGGCACTAGCAGCTCTGTATCATCAGGTCGTGATCAGGGCCATCCCCTTCAAGTCCAAGTGATGCTTTCATCAAATTCCATGATCCTTTAAATTGTGGCCTTTGATGTGAATGTTTCAAGCATGCAGACCAAGGCCCTTTGAGTCTATCCATTTTTCTTTCTTTTGTTTCTCTGCGAATGTATTTGTGTAACTTATCTACGTGGGATGTGTATGGCATACTCTCAAGCACTTAGCTTTTAATGTAAGTCCAAGAGAGGATGCTAGTGGGCCCACCAAAAGTTGTTGGCCTTTTGGATCTATTGTATTTGTGTGGCTGTGTAATGTATATTTGTCATAATAGCACACCCTTTTCTCTACTAGCCTTTGTTTTTTTTTTTTTTTGGGGAGGATTGGCATTTTTCTTTTTTGCGTGCAGCTATAACCTAAACTCAAATCATTGTACTTTTTAATTTAAATAAATAATGATAATCCATTGATTTCTTTTTTTCCTACCCAACAAACAAATTATATCATTAAAGACGGAGAAATGATACAATCAAGGAGAAGAGCATTTAATAATCACGGAGATTAAATGTTCACTCAAAATTATTACATTCAGTAATGAGAGCTTTTTTACGCAACGACGACGACATTTTCTTGATGGGGAATCACAAGAGATGATTCCAAACAAACATTGAGAAGAGATATTACATCATAAAAAAACATAACCATTAAAGGTTCAATAGAAGCCTGAATATTCATAATAGATTGACAATCCCACTCAACAACATCTTGATAGCCCCAGCTATTGAGAAGCAGCAGAGACATACATACGTGTTAACACATAAAATTAGTAAAGAGACATACATTTAATTTCAGAGTTAAATATACATAAAGTAATTTCAATTTTAAATTTAATCACCAAGTTTTTAAGAGCACCTAATTTTGATTGGGCTAATGAGAGTGTGAATTGTTTTTTTGGGCCTGTCACTCGTGGGAAGGGGCCTAAGTTGTTGTTGTTGTATTTGTTCAATCACTCATGGCCTTTAAAAATTTGAGGGTCTCTAAATGTCGCCTTGGGCTAAGGCCGGCCCTGCCCATTATCACGACTCATCGTTGCGGCATTTTTCAGTTGGAATCATACGATCGTTACAAAATTGGTCCTTGTTCCCCGTTATCATCACCCATCCTCTTAGACCTCTCTCTCTCTCTCTATATATATATACTCTTATATTGGCACTTAAAGGGGTAAGACAGGCCCCAATTCTCTACATCACTATGTAGAAGTTTTTTTCACACTATTTTTCACTCTCAGAAGCAAGCATTCTAAAGTTGATTCAAGAATTTTTGGGTTCTTTTCGTTTTGAATTTGTGATCAACCTACTGTGTTGTGAAGTTCATTATAGTATTAGTCTATTCATCTACAATCCCAATATATCTCCCTATTGAATGAACAACTTCTCCCCCTCACTTAACAAGATCAATATGGGAGAGTTACTTGTTTTACCCCGGACTCGGGTCCGGGTCCTTTTTACTACTTTGGAAATAGTTTGTATAGGTTGAGCTTTACTAACTCGGTTGTTTATACTTTCCGGAGATACACCTTACATTTGGGAGAGTGGGTCGTCCTACAACCAACACTACTTAATCGAAACCCGCATTACTACGGTTTTGATTTAAGATTGTGAGCTAGTGAGTGAGGGTGAAATTTACAACAGTATTCTTATAGCTTAAATGAGGTTGGATTTATAAATAGAACTTTCTTTATATGGTCCGTGCTTATTATTTAAAATTACTGGTATGAAAAAACGTGACAGCTCAGTGAACAATCCTATAACATCTCTTCTGTTTTTGATTTACATGTCCATGGTAATAGTTATGTGGATTATTTTTAGGTATTTTGGATACTTTTTATTGGTAAAATTATTATCTTGTGACTTGTACTCCCTTAAAATTCTACAAGTAAACAGGTTTATTTAGTATACCTTCATGCAAAATTTCTCTCTATTTAAAGAAATAAAAAAGACAAATATAACTCATTCAGAATAAGCAATTATAATACTCTAATACAAGTGAATGTTGCTCGATGTTTTTATTGGAGGTCTAGGCGTCTATTTATATGAAGTAAGGTGGTGGAATTATGGGAGGACTCGTCTTGCTTGTTCTCCAATTCATTCCATATTGCTTGTCCTCCAATTCATTCCATATACAATCATTATTTACAATTAGAATTCTTTCCTTTTTACAATTCTTTCCATGCCATACTTTTCTTGTACAGAACTTGCTTTCTTTATTGAATCCTTTGTTTAGCAGGACTCGTTTATTCTCATATAACTTGGGTTGTATGTATCTTGAATCGTCTGGGCTTGATAAATGGGCCGAATGACCAATGTCAGCGATCTTGATAGAAGGGAAGATTCAACTTGGGCTTGTTCCGGATTGGGCTTTCCCATTCGGGCTTGATACTGATCGGATCCTTGCAAATATAAACAATATAAATTTGTAGTGTGATGACGTGGACGATCCTTATTGGAGGGTTTTTTGTTTTTTCCCTCCACACTTTCAAATTTGTGTAAATGATGATTTTCGGTATCATAACACGTTAGATTTGTAAAGAGAACTTTGTTTATATGGTTTATGCTAATTATTATTGAAAATCATTGGTGTAAAGAGAGATCATCAACGTTTAGATTTAGATGTCCATAGTCATACCATTATTTTGGGAACTATAAATGAAAGGGAGGTGATAATAGCACTAAAGTCCTACGGTGCTCCACTCTCTTACTTTCTTAAAATGAAATTACACAACAGTCTTAAGCTACACCATGTTTGGTTCTTATATTTTTTGATCTCGTAATTGCCTTCTGTTGTTTAGATACTCTTTCTCACATGGTCTGATATGAAACACAGAGTGAAAGTCCGAGAGAAAATTCAGTCATTGCTCATAGTGCGTTTTGATGCTGATTAATTAATGCTTTAATGGCACCGATATGGAATTTCAAAGCTAATATCAACAAACCATGAGAATCGATGCCAAGTGTTGAAGGAAAATTGGGATTGAAAATTAAATTGAAGAAATCACAGCTACATATTAATATCGAATGCAACATTCATAACTTTTAAAAAATATAAAAGTTATGGATGCAACATTTAAACCTTCTACTTCCACCGTAAGTACGGGTTGATCGCCTACCATGAATATATTTTGATATATGTCCCATTCTCTGCTTGTCACAAGCCTCCACTCGTGAAGCTTGAGGATAATTTTTGTCAAGTTTCTGATAATCGATCCATCAACATAAACCAGCCATTAGGATTTTTGTATTTGGATTCATATTTCAATCTAGGCCCGGATACGGATCTAGATCCAGATCCGATTCCTGATCTGATATGATCAGAAAAACAACATCAACGATCACGTAATTGCAACTATAATACGATTTTAAAAAAATTAAATATACAAGTACCTTTATAAAGAACATGAATCATAGTTTTTGCCGAGAAATAAAGAAGGAAGAAATTAAAAAAGTAAATCGGGAAAAAAAAAAAGTAAATCAAAATCACAAACAACAGTAATAGCAGTTCTAGTGAAACAACTAAATTATTTCAAAAAACATATAAAAGTCAAGAAATTAAAATCACAATATAATCTCACAAAATCACATAAACAACAAATTATCAAACCACTTTAGACTTAAAAAAAAAAAAATGAATAATAAAAAATAATTTAGACGGATTACACTTACAAAATCACAGACTTGACTTGGTCAGAGGCTGGGCAAGATCAAAACCGTAGCAATGCGGGTTTGGTTTAAGCAGTGTTTGTTGTAGGACGACCCACACACCCAGATGTAAGGTGTATCTCCGGAAAGTAGAAGCAACCGAGTTAGGAAAACTCAACCTATACAAACTATTTCCAAAGTAGTAAAAAGGGCCCGGCCCAGGCTCGGGGTAAAACAAGTAGCTCTCCCGTATTGATCTTGATGAGTGAGGGAGAGAAGGTGTTCATTAATTCAATACTAAGATATATTGGGATTGTAGAGGAATATCAAATGCAACATCCATAGCTTTTAAAAAATATAAAAGCTATGGATGCAACATCTAAACGTTCTACTTCCACTGTAAGCATGGGTTGATCGCCTACCATGAATATATCTTGATATATATCCTATTCTTTGCTTGTCACAAGCCTCCACTCATAAAGCTCGAGGATAATTTTTGTCAAGTTTCTGATAATCGATCCATCAACAGAAGCCAGCCATTAGGATTTTTGTATTTGGGTTCGTATTTCAATCCAGACCCAGATCTAAACAACAAAAGGCAATTACGAGATTAAAAAATGTAGGAATCACAAATGGTGTAGCTTAGGACTCTTGTGTAATTTCATTTTAAGAAAGTAAGAGAATGAAGCACCTTAGGACTTTAGTGCCAATATCAGCTCCCTTTCATTTATAGTTCCCAAAATAATGGTATGACAATGGACATCTGAATCTAAAAGTTGATGATCACTCTTTACACCAATGATTTTCAATAATAATTAGCATAAACTATATAAACAAAGTTTTCTTTACGAATCTAATCTGTTATGATATAGAAATGTATCATTTAAACCTTTTTGAAAAGTATACTAAATAAACCTGTTTAATTATAGAATTTTAAGAGAGTACAAGTCACAAGATAATAATTTTACCAATGGAAAGTATCCAAAATGCCTAAAAATAATCCACATAACTATTACCATGGACATGTAAATAAAAAACTTATAATAATATTAATAATTATAAGCATAGACCATATACAGAAAGTTCTATTTATAAATCCAACCTCCTTTAAGTTGCAAGAACACTGTTGTAATTTTCACCTTCACTCGCTCGCTCACAATCTTAGAGGCATAAGCAAATTAAAAACTAGAAATGCCTTTTCATTTGGGTTGGATCGGCCCAGGAACTAGTGGCAGATATACATTTGGTAGGAACAAACAAACTATAATACTATCAATTTAACTAGCTTAACAAATAGTAATAAGAATCCAAAAGGGGGACAATTTAGGAAACCCGAAGTTTTGGTAAAAAATCAAAATACCTCAAAGATACTCTATTACACTACTGTTGTAGTAGTGTTAAACCAAATCAAAGCCCTTTGCAGTACTATTACCAACCCTGGGAACAAAGTGCTTATATGGTCATCAAAATATCCCATATCGCGTTTCTCCGTATCCCAGCCCCTGGTATCTTATTCACCATATCATTAACAATACTATCCAAGTCTCAAGTCCCTGACAAACAGAGGTAAGTCGCTGCCATCCAGTGGAACACGAATCGCCTTCACTCTCTGTTCCCATGGAATATTGGCTCTCGCAGACTGATTAGGATGATACAGA